GTAAAAAATGGTCAAAAAATGGCTACGAGAACTTCACCAATTTTTCCATAATCAAAATCAAATCAAATCAAAGTTTATTTATCAAATAAACAACAATACAGCATGCAGCAGTAGTTGCTGGCAATGAAATGTATTTTCTGCGAGCTCACAAAAATCACAAGAATCACAAAAATCACAAAAACACAAAAATCACAAAATTAAGGTTACAAAAAATAAGGTTACATAATAATAGATGTAATAGAAATTGAATAAAACTCAATATGAATAGAGCTGCTATGTGTCCATGGTGTATGCAATATATACAAGTATTGCAGTATGCTGAATACAGTGTAAACTGTATGTCCATGTAGCCATTACAGGTGATATGCTGCAGGTTGGCTATTTAGCAGTCTTATTGCCTGGAGGTAGAAGATGTTCCATAGTCTGTTGGACTTGGACCAAATGCTTTTTACCGGATGGTAGGAGGGAAAACAGTTTGTGACTGGGATGACTGGGGTCCTTGAGAATGGACCTGGCCTTTTTAAAACATCTATCTGAGTAGATATCCAGGATGTTTGGTAGCTCACAGCCGGTAATGACTTCACCATCCTCTGCAGTACTTTGTGATCCCGAGCGGAGCAGTTCCCATACCAGGCAGTGATGTTTTATTTAGTCTTACTGATGTTCAGAGAGAGGTTGTTCTCCTGGCACCATGCTTCCATGGTCAAAAGGCGTAAGGTAAGTCATAATCCAGGGAGAACACAGGTGGCAAACAGTCTGAGGCGAGAGGCGAGGTCCAAAGTAGAAAAGGCAGAAGGGAGTCCAAAATCCAGAATAAACGAGGTACGGGAAAAACGCCAGGTAGAGCTCTCAAGAAGTAGACTCAATACCGAGGAGTGGGAAGCAGGTTAAGATGGTATAAACAGCACTGCGTGCCGCACGGTAGAACATGTGCAGTTGGGTTAACTCGTGCGGCGGCGTTTGTTAATAATAACCTGCTGCTGGTGCTGATTAGATCGCTTAAGAGTTGGTCTTTGCTGGCTGGCGGTCGGGACAGTATCATCCGCAAACTAAATGATAGAGTTTGAATTATGCCTGGCGACACAATCATGGGTAAATAAGGAGTAGAGGACAGGGCAAAGCACACAGCCTTAACACCTCCAGTGTTTAGAGTCAGGGTAGAGGATATGTTGGTGCCCACCCTCACCACCTGCAGACGTTACTTCAAGAAGACCCGGATCCAATTACAGAGGGAGGTGTTCAGCCCCAGGTCCTGGAGCTTGATGACAAGCTTTGAGGGCACTATGGTATTGAATGCTGAGCTGTAATCAACAAACAGCATTCTCACATATGTTCCTTTCTTATACAGGTGTGAGAGGGCAGTATGGAGGGCAGTGGCAATAGCATCTTCTTTTGACCTGTTCTGGCGATACGCAAATTGCAGTGGGTCTAGGGTGTCAGGCAGTGAGGAGGTGATGTATGCTTTGACCAGCTGCTCGAAGCACTTCATGATAACTGATGTGAGTGCAACAGGACGGTAGTCATTCAGGCAGCTGACTCTGGGTTTCTTAGGAACAGGGACAAAGGTGGTTTTCTTAAAGCAGGAAGGAACTATAGACTGAGCTAGAGAGACATTAAATATGTCCGAGAAGACATCTGCCAGCTGGCCTGCGCATGCCTTCAGAACACAACCAGGGATAGCATCAGGGCCAGGAGCCTTGCGTGGATCCGTCTTTTTAAAAACTTTACACACATCCGCTCTGGATATGATCAGTGGGTTTCCGTCTGGGATTTCTGGAATCTTACTGACCTCAAACCGAGCATAGAATGAATTTAGCTCCTCGGGAAGAGAAGCAGACTGTTGTGTGATATAGCTGGGTTTCGTTTTGTAGTCTGTAATGGTACGTATACCACTCTGCATGGGCCGTGTGTTGCAGTCGTGATAATATGGTTCTAATTTTACTCTGTAGTTGTAGTTAGCTATTTTGATAGCTTTCCTGAGGTCGTATCTGGATTTTTTGTATTTATCCATATCACCAGAATTGAAGGCAGCTGTCCTAGCTTTATGTTTGGCGCGTATCTCACCATTTACCCATGGTTTCTGATTTGGATATGCTAAAACATAACCAAATTCAAAAGCATTTTCTTATAAAGAAATGTTTTTTTCAGTGATCCTAGTGACAGTTTAATTAAATAATAATTTTAATTATTAAAACCTCCTTTAGTTCTGAAAGAAATTTACTTTTGCTATGATTCTTAGAAAATATTTTAGAAAGTGCAGTTTCAGCAGTTCTGAATCACATCTTGCTCATGCTCACTATGGCTAAATATCACTATGACTAAATTTACAATACTGTAGAAACGTAGAAACACCTATGAGCTGCCCAAGAGGACTTGTTGTAGACAGATGCCACAAGAGTTCTAGCAAGTACTCCAAATCTAAACTCTGAGGTGATATGCAAGGCCGGACCAGAGGAAACAACGGAGGGTTGCAGGGAGTCCCAATTGGTGTCATTGATTCGGCCCTGGAGATTTCTTTATCTTAAGTTCATCTTATACCTGTAAACGTTCTGCCTCTTGTATGATAATATGATTCAATCCAGGTCAAAGTCACAGAGGAGCCAGAGACTATCCCAGCAAGCAACAGACACAAGGCAGGGTAAACCCTGGACAGGATGCAAGCCCATTGCAGGGCAGACTCAAAGATACAAACACTTATGACTAGAGTCAATTATCCCAGAATTAAATTAACATAGCAGTATGCTTTTCATCTATGAGGGAAAATCAGAGCACCTGGAGGAAACCCAGGAGACTACAGGGAGAACAAGCTCCACACAGATAGCAAAACCGGAATTGAACCCAGGGCTCTAGCAGTGAAAGGCAGTATTGCTGACCATTGTGCCACTGAGGCACCCTTACTTTAATAAACACCTGAGTGAAATACTTATTTAATACCTCTGCCATTACCCTTCCATCATCTAGAACAGTTTCTTAACCTACTCCATCACATGACACACTTTCATAAATATAAAAATCTTATGGCTTCTGCCCCCCTTTCCAACACTCACACTTCAACAACCTGGGCACATTATTATTCATGTTCTAGACAAAACATGTTTAATCAATGGGCAAATTCAATGTTTAATCAGAGTCTGCCACAAACTGCATATCTGCCTATCTGCCATATCATGTCAGGAAATGATGACTGTGAAACATGGAGTTCTTGCACAATGTTCTGGCGTTCTCTGTTGTGCCAGGTTTTTTTATGTCATTCAAACGTGAAAAACTCTGCTTGCACCACACGTGATTGCATCGTGTACAGTCTTAAAGCATGACCTCAGTCATGCTTGAATACACTAAATGTGCAACACAACACTTTCCAGATGTTTCCAGAAAATGTACATATACAGTACAGTATAGAAACGCTATTTAATTATTTTTTGTTAGTTTTCTCATATGTGGCTAGCCCATTGTTCCTCACTGGTGTGCTGCCTCAGTGGTGTGTCTTCAGACACTAAGTTGGAATGTGGAAGTTTTTATCCCAGATGGAATTTTGCACAGCCTTTACTGCTCTTTTGCTGTTGAAATACTGAAAAAATGTTTTTAGTTTAACCTCTGTGCTAAAAGGCAGGATGGTGAGCACTCCCAGAAATCAGAGCAATCAGTAGCACAAATCAAGCTCCTGGCCTCCACGTCTTCAGTGACGACACTGAAACAGGACCTTGGGGACCTTCCCTGGACAACAGTAACAGTTGACAGTGAGAGCCAGGGTGCACGCAGGAGCTGAGCAGCAAGTCAGTGGGGAGTGGGTCAGACACCTCCCCAGAATCATAAGTAAAGTTATAAACAAAAAATCTGGGATGTGGGTAAGAGAGGGATCTGAATTCACTGACAGTAAGGATCCTTTTGTGTGCATTACACAGACCCAGCAACTTCAACATTGGCCCTGTCTCCAAAGGCACCATGGGAGTGCTGGTGGACTGGAGATGGGACACAACAAAATGTCAACACACAGGCTCCCGATTGCTATAGGAAACATGCTGCTGTATACTGTATGTCGGCATTTCATTTGCATCCTCTAGTCTAGACTATGTGGGGGAGTAAGTAAAAAGACAAACAAAATGCTACCATTTATAGTTAAAAGTGTAGTTTTAAATCTAGGGATGTTATGTAAACATTGTGTAACACACTGGAAAGACCTCATCTTCAAGATTGTGTACAATTTTTTTATCACCACATTGTAGAAAAGATATTGCTGACCTGGAATCCATCCAGAGAAGAGCAACAAGATACATTCCAAAGATTAAGGGAATATAACACACTGAAGGAACTGAACCTTTTTGTTTTAGAAACGCATGAGGGGAGCTGATAAGTATCAAAATCCTAAAATTCACTGAAAAAGTCAATCCACTGGAATTCTTCAGAATGAACAGTGAAGCCAAAGGCAAAAGCAGAAACAACATGGAAGTGCATTAAAAAAACAGGAGGCATATCTTTGACAAAAGTGTTGTAGAGGTATGACACAAATCACCCAGTAGTGTTGTTGAGACCGATACCCTGTTTTTTTTTTTCCTTATGTTGTTATGAAAGGCTGGGACGCCCGGATAATCAAACAGTGGCAGTGGGAAATTTTGGACGAAGGGGTTTTCTGAGGTTTTGATCCCGACTTGATAAATAGTGGTAAAATCTCTTAGTTGTGCGGCTTCTAAAGAGAAAGTTGCAAACAAGGAAAATGTATTACATTTTAATAAGTTAAATAATTAAACTAAACATTACGTTATAATAGCACAATGTCACCATTTATCATTTGAAGGCGCAAGTATTTGGTAGTCCAACGCCATACATTACATTTGGTTGCGATAAAACGATAAATACTTGCCCTAAGAACGGGCATGTAGCCCTGAAAAACTACAGTTCCCATAGGTCAAGCGTGTATGGTTTATCACTTTTGCTCTAACATGTTTTTCCAAAAGACATGTGGGCGTGACTTTACCAACTTCCTCTTTTTACCTGGCATTTTCTTGTTCTTCTACTGTGGATTGGCTGACTGTCGGGAGTGAAGCATAATACCAGTAAAAGCTGCTCCTACAAAAGTGTTCTGAATTTCGACGCGTGTTTCGAGTGGAGGGGACAGCTGGTGATTTAAGTCCCAGTACAGATCATGACTCAGTTCAGTAATTCTATGCGCAGCGATTATTCAACTGAGAGTTACTTCGGAGATGAACTGGAATCATTAAGGTGAGACTATTTAAATATTGAAAGCTTTTTTTTTATCCTTACACTATCCAGGGCTCTGGAACTTTGTTCTTCACCTGCATCTAACGAGATTTAGTTTACGAGTCAAAATAGTGAAATTAGTTATTGTGTGAAAAGTGTTTTAAAGATCGTTCTTAATCTTCACTCAAGTAGAAAAGAAATTTAGTTAAAATGTTAAAAAAGTTAGTCTGATAAACAGTTTTTAGAATTAGTTCTTCACAAAATAATTTCAAAGCAGCCTTTATTATTTCAGTAATATTCATTTTATTTTTTTAAAGTTTAAACATCTATAAATCGTCAGTTCCTAGGCAGAAAATACTTGAAATATACTGCTATTGCTAAAATATAAATATATTGAGACCTTTCACAAGGATTATCTGTGAAGACCGAACAACGTCATTCATGCAACATGAAACAATTATTAGTATCATTCAGTACCATCTGTGGTGAGATCTGACAGAGATTAGAAGAATCATCATTGGCTTAATCTGGTGGAGGAGCACAGCATTGATAAATCTGAAGATTGTTTTTACTACTTCTAGAATAAGTGTTCAAACCGTAGTATAGTGATTTATTTAAAAGGTACTGTGATAAGCAAGTCGTAATAAACGAAATTAATCGGTGAAGGATATTGTCCCAAATAAAGGGTTCCCGCACATTTGTTTGTAGTTGTACTTTAAAGACAAGGAAGTTAAATACGTTATAGGAGAAAATACAGCTAGTCGGTGGCAGTTAGAAGAGGAATAGGAATCCCTGTGTTGACAAGCCATTTTTCGCAGGAAATTTTAATTAACATATATCGTTACTCTGTAACAGTTCTCCAAACAAGGGGTGAGAAATGTTGGCGATACTAGAAGAGTGTGTTATTTGTTAGAACTGCTTATTAATACAGCACCTTCCACTGCAGTATATTGAATTGGCTTCATGGCACATTTTTTGTAGTATTTTGTGTTTATTGTTTTTTATAGGTCATCATTTCAGTCTACCCCCCTTGAGCAATACCCACGGATGTTTATTCCCCAGCGGAATTAAAGTTTAAAACTGAATGAATGAGATGGTGCCTCAGATGGGTGTCTTCTCAGTAAATGTTACCTGCCGGTCCACTTTTCATGTATACAGATTGCAGAGAAAATGTTGCTAAAAATTCATGGGTTTTAAAAAGTACGTTTATAGTTTACTTAAAGATAAAAAGAAGTAATGCCTCTCATAAAAACGGAAAAGTGGGGACGGGTCCTCTGTGTCAATGACAGAAAAAAATCCCCATGCACAACTCTTTCTTGTTCCTTTGCAGCAAACCAAAATGTCCTTTAGTTTCACTTCCATTTTTATTAAAGCCGCACAACGTCTAACTACTGGTGTTCATTGTATGATGTGCTTGTATGCAAATAGCCATTTCATGGATTATAACCTTTATGGCAGGTGTATTAATATTTCCTAAATATTGCGTAATGCTGTAAATCCTATAACTGTGCCACACCTACATGAAATCTTAATGGTGTTTTTCTTTCATGGTTCTTCATTTGTGTATTTTCTCAGTATTTTATTTATCTGAACTATTTTTAAACTCTTATGTTGTATAACGGGAATAAATGGCAATTTAAATATGATAAATTGCAAGCAAATTACAATTAATATAATTCTTAATTTAACTTCATTATGAAAAGATAAGTTGTTTAACGTCTGTGTGGTAAATCATCTGGTACAGTGTTGCTTTGCATGAGCAAAAACTCATGAGTAAGGACAGAATTTCTGTGAGAAATATTTAATGTTTCTGAGTTCTCTACCTTTTTATTACAAAAAAGCAAATGCTTTTCCTGCTTGCATCTAAACTTTATTTAAAAAAGTAATCACATTTATGGAAGGAAGTCTCACCTACGGTGGAGAGCTATTTCAAATTTGTTTTTTTAACACCCATGCATGGTTAGATGATGCATGAGGAGGTAGAAATTGTATTTCTCAGAATTACATACTGTATATACCCTATAGCAGTAGTGCAAAATAACTGTGATGTGTGTATGGTTGTATTGCAAAGTTTTTCTTTTACCTCTAATTTTAGGAGTTAGCTTAAGGAACGTGACTTTGGGTAGATTCACCTGGCTTAAATGTTGATTAAGGCAACAAACACACACAAGAGCTGCAGCACTGTTTTTGTGAAGTGACACACCAATGTACCGTAGACCCTAAATTTATTAGATGGCATCCGAATACGAGTTATCATGTTATACGAAAGCTTGAGCTCTGGAGAGTTACTATAGAAATATGTTTGTGTATCAACAAAATATTTCCTGTCAGGGCTTCTTGCCAAAATCAACTAGTTTATGCCCTAGAGTTCAGATCTTTCTGTAGTCATTAGTTAACTACTTGACCAGGGTTCCTGAAATTGTAGTGGACAATTAGCCAAGGTCTGCGAGGGTTAGCCTACAGTAAGTACCATATTTATGACTTGACACACAACAGGAACCCCTTGGAATTTTTGAAAACTGAAAGGATGTTATCTCACAGTATTTTTAGCAAGAGCCACAGCCTCCTTCCATTCCATACTATTTTACCCATAAGGATACTCTGGGACTTTCAGTATGAAAAGTCATGGATGTTCCAGGGTGAAGATCTAAATATGGTCTAAAATTTGTTTTTTTAAATTAGATCATGGGTGGCATGGCAAAGTGGCTAGCACTGCTGTCTTGCAAAGCTTTGGCCCTGGGTTCAACATCTGGGGTGCTATCTCTGTGGAGCTTTGGTTTACTCCTACAGTCCAAAGACTTACTAGAAGGTTAATTGACTTCTGGGAAAACTGGCCCTGGTGTGAGCGTGTATGTGTGGCTTTGTGTGTACTGCAATGAACTGGCATCTCATAAAGGATGGATCCTCCCTTGCCCTCATTGTTTGCTATAATAGGTTCTGGTTCCTGTGTGACCTTGTATTGCATAGAGCCATTAGAAAATAGATCATAATAAATGAAGGAGAATTTGGTACATCTAGGTTGTTTGATGGATAATGTAACTGATTTCATTCAGGTGTTCCTTGACTAAAGGATATTAGTTTCAACACCTTGTTTCAGTCACCCACAATTTTTCTTAATGGCTTCCAGCTTCAGTTTTAAATGCACTTCCACATAGTTTCCACCTTTGCTGTTTGATTCGTGTTTCACAGATTCTGACAAAGAATGTAGCTTTGCTGTCAGTGTCTCTTTATGATTTTTGAACATATTGCTCATTTTCTTGGTATGTTTCTTGGTAAGGAGTGTTTCTTCTGCTTGTTTGTTGATATAGCTGTTTTTTTTCTAAACAAACTTTAAGATTTAGTTTGTTTCTATAAAGGCAGAGATGTTGCATAATCTAGCTGAAGAAGAGCCTTGTAATTTAGCATACTATCTTCCAAAACAAAAATATAAATTAAAAAAACTAATTGAATGTTTTTTCCATGTACATTCAGGTTTATGAAATGATCATTGAAGAAGAAAATATTTTTTGTTTTTGGTTAAGATGTGTTTCACAGTGGTGTTCTGATTATCTGCCAACAAATCTACTCATCCTGATTCAGTACAAATTTTGGTGTCTGCACATACATTTGGTAGTACAAGAGGAACTGGAAAAAATCATACAGTACATTGGGAATTTCACTGATCTTGGAATTAATAAATTCAGAAATTAGGTCAAACTAGATATTGAGTGTGAAACTGATATTTGTCCCCTGAGTTAATTTTTCTTAATCTGCCTACACTCTCTAAAGAACAAATTGTGATTGACATTTCAGATTGTAGAGAATAGGAAGCTGTTGGGAATTAATTACTAATCAGGAAACTGATCTTTCAAATATTCTTAAAAATACTTGTTTAATATACTGTTACTTTCTAGGGAAGAAAGAAGTAAATTCATAGCTTTAATGATGTATTTACTGTACAAATACAGTACAGTGTGTTTAGGAGTATATTAAAGTAAACAAGAGAAAATTATTTTGTAAGAAATTAAGTGTTTTTGTAAGAAGTTTTTTAAAACTTCTTGTGTGCTGACTAACATCATGTGAATTTAATTGTGTAATATTATTGAAAAAAGCAGATTTATTTTGATAAAAAGTCCATTGATTATGAAATTGTCATCTCCGAGTCAGAAGAAATTAGTGTGACTAGAGCAATAAAAAGTAAATGAGTTGTTTCCATATTCTAGAAACTGGTTCATGGGTCTTCTGTGAAAGTCAAGAGGAAATTATTTTATGACTATTACCTTTGGACTGAAATTTCAATTCCAAACAACAATCTTTCTATTTGTAAAAGTCACAAACTGGTATAGTAGAAATCCCTTATAGAACTGAAATAGTTTACAGAGGTTATGTAATGAATAATTAAGAAATTAATAAACTCCAGGCAGAATAAGTTGATAAAAAACAATAAGAAGGCAGATAAGTGGGCTCAGGCAATTTCAAGCTAAAACAAGCATTTTTAGCAGTTGGACCCAAGTTGTTAATATTTTTTAACACAATTTCTGTTTTGCATGATTGTTTTTGTATGAAAGATAAAGGGTGTTAGAATTAGTTAAAAGTCATTTCCATATGTTACAAAAACCTCTACCAATTTTACACTATAATTATCACGATTGTAATACATTTCTCACAAAGTTGTTATTAATTGTAGAGTCATTAAATGATTCTTAAACCATTAAATGATATGTTGCACCTATCCAATTAAATTTGAACTAAATTTGAAAAGTTTATGTAATAGGAAAGATCCAATATTAACGCCCAGAAGAACATCCTTATTTCTATACCTGGCATGTTTCATATATAGTTACGAAAACCTGACAGATTATTTAATAATAATCCTTCCTAAGTAGAATAAATTGTGTATTAAGAGATTTCTGCAAATTGTGGCAGAGTATACTTTGAAAGAATGGTTTCTTACTGTTGCAATGGAGGGGATATGTGTAGCACTGTAGCTCTTTATGAACAAATGTTTTGTGATTGTTTTCTTGTTGTATCCATTTGATAAT